GGATACCACAGAAAATTATTTAAACTTTTAAAAAATTTCTATTTGTAAGTGAATTTTAATGAATTATCATTTGATGGAAGGATAGAGTTAAAAATGTTTTATTTGAAATTATATTTTGTATCATAACGTAACAGCAGAAGAAAGAAAATTTAAAAATTATATTTGTGCAAAATAGGGAAATTATGCCGAACTTTGCCTATACAAGTCCTATGTTTATCAAAAGAAAATTCATTCTTGAAATTTATGAACTAGAAAACTATAACAAATGATTCACTTAGTTCATATGCATATCTATTTAATTGACTTCTAAACAGAGTTAAATAAATTTGGTTTAATTTATGCATGAAAAGATAAATTATTGATAACTCATTTATCAATATTAATTTTTAATAGCTTAAATAATTTTCGGTGCTCTTTTTCATTAGCTTAATTAAACATGGGCTCAAAAATGTTCAAATGAGCCAAATTAAGTTTAAAATAAATTATAAGCTTAGTAATTAGTCATTAGAGCAAAATTTTGTCAAAATAATCTTCTCAGCATAAAAATTATATTTTTTAAATACAGGAACTAACTTATAATTAATAGCAAAACTTTTTGTATTCTACACTACCGTAAGAAATGATACAAGCCCTTTAATTTTCCATACAGGTATTAAAAGTATTTTCTGTTCGGGAGAATTCGAATTTGTAGTGCTGCCATCTACAATCCAGTTGTAAATACAATTCCTTACATTTAAAAATTATTTAGATCATTCTTTGCAGGTAAAAATTATTTAGATCACCCAGATTGCACAAAATAATGATAGGATGTATTAGCCAATAATTGCAAAAATTTAGGTAACTTTTATATTAAATAGAGAAAAAGAAAAAATTTGATTATGTTACTAGTTTGGCTAGATTCTGATATTTCATGAAAGAAAGAGAAGCTTAAAAGCAGTTCAATGAAAATATTCCTGTGACGATGGCATACTTGGATGCCCCCCCCCCCCCTGCAAGATTTATAAATGCTCCCGATCTTGGACTTAATATAAAATTTTTAAAATTATATTATGAGGAAAGAACACTATGAAGAGATATTCGAGTGTTGATAATCATCAGGGGTGCCACTCTAAAAAAATTCCAAGACTGAACTTATTTTTTGACTAAATAATACTGTCTAGCGTTGTTTACCAAACTTTTAGAAATTTATAGCTCACTGACACCGAAATTTTTATTTCCTTGATAATAGCCTGGCCTACATATTAAATCATTTGTTTATTTTTCCTATAATTTTTTTTCTCCTTATTTTATGCTTTTTTAGCAAACAAAAAGAAAACAACAGCTAACCTTGTATAATTTTTTACAATTATTACTGAACAACCTGAAACCATTCATACCTCTATTTGTCACTTCATTGTTATTTATTTTTTGTTCTAGCATTATAATTTCTTTCTTTGTTATTAAAAAAAAATCTTGATTTAACTTTGGTCAGCATGACAATAGGTTAAGGTGAAGGAATCAAACTCAAGCAGATTTAGATTCAGCAATAGTACAAATTTAATTACGCAAGTAGATGAAGTTCACTTAATCCTATTTCTCAAGACTTTAAGAATGAGATTTAGTGACGCTGACAAAAAGAAAATAAATAAAAGTCTTGACATTATTACCATATCATATGTTTTCATTAAGATATAATATTACTTTTTTATTTTGACCAAAAAAAAATTTTTAATTTCCAAGGAAAAAAAAAAAGAAAATTTTATTTAATTGATAGAATTTATTAGTCCATTGATTTTTCTCAAGACTGATTTCAGTCCCCAGGACTGAAGAGTGGCACCCATGTAATCATTCATTTTATTTTAATCTATATTTATTTATTATAATTTTATATAATCTGTAAAAATTATTACTAATCTATATATTTTATTTAATTACTATAATTAATCTTATTATTAGCTAATAAGGAATTGATAATTACGATGGAAAGGCTTACAACAATTATATTTAAAGTTTAGATAATAAGTTAAATAAATATTTTTGTTGAGTAATATAAATGCAAATAAAATATTTTAATTATAGAAATTGTATGGGGGATTGAAATGATTTAAAATAAAAATAATTACAGAAATAAAAATAATATACAGAAGAACTAAGAAATACTACTTTACTTTCGTTCTCATATAAAAATTAGTTTTTAAGTCTAAAGAAAAATGTCTTACTTGCAGTTTCTAGGGGTTTTTTAATCCTAAAAAAACCTTATCCTGAGTGCGTCACTGCGTTGTTGTAAAAAAAGTTCCAATTGGTATAAAAAATGTGACTAAGAATGTATTAGTATGGGATATTATTGCACCAAAGAAAATAGATTTATAGTTTTCATCTATTACCTTTGTGTGTGTGTTCACATACATATGTTCTGAATTAACATTGTATGCCCACACCCGTTTCCACAAATGACTTTCAGTCACTTCAGAACATGGAAAATCTTTAATTAATAAAGTAATTCATACCTTGCATGGATGGAGTCAATTTTCATATCTTCTTTCTTTTCATTATGTTTGACTATATTTAAATAAGTGTTTTTACTTAATTAGTTTAGTTGGGAAATCAGGATTATAAGTAGGCATCTCAAAGGAATGAATATTAATGAAAAGAAAATCTTCGCTTCTTTTTAAAAATATCTTCATTTTATTGAATTCAAGTGAACATTTTTACTTAAATTAGTTCAGTTGAAATAAAGATAATAAATGAACATTTCATACAAATGCTGAACAAGATACATCTTTATTCAAATTTTGAGAGTTTGGTTTGTTACATTTCTTACATGTTATTATCACTTTATTTATTACACATGATACTAAATTTAAAAAAAAAGTATAGGGATATAAATATTCAGACACGTTTTTATAAATTTGTTTGGATAATGTGTGTTAAATTTGTGCCCATTCAATTTAAAAAAAAAAGTATTGGCTATTATTGAATAAAATATTTTTACAGCAAGAAAATTTTAAATATTCACAAAATTAAATTTTTAAAAACCAAGGCAAACATATATACACTAAAAAAAAACTATAACAAATATAACCTAAAAATGATAGAAATAAACATAATAAAATCATACATACAAATCATTACAATGCATCATAGAAATAAAGCGGTTGGTTATTATAGAAATACAGACATACATGAAAAAATATGAATTCAAAATATAAAAAATAGAAATTAAAATATACGACACAAAATACAATTCAAAAACCTTAACTAGCCAACAGATAAAAATAGTTTCCGACTTGCTCAAATGAAAAAGGATTACAATAAAAAACCTGATACAACAAACGTGGCCTATGACAAGGATTTTGCTTGCCAGGTTGGCAATCATTGGGCTATATTTAACAGTGCAAAAAACTTACAATCAAAATCAATTATCAATGTTGTCAATGACATCAGAAAATGCTATTTCTGAAAATTTGCAATAAGCTAGAAAAAATTCTGCTAAAAAAATGTATAAGATGTAATAGATGTTTAATGAAATATTTTTCACCTATGTGAAACCAATTTCACTAAATATATACTCAGTATAAATTTAGAAAAATCATCTTGTTTCATTCATCAGTGTGCATAAATTTTTTTTGTTAAACAAACAATCAAAGGTACTTTATCACAAAGCTCCTTGAAAGGAAAACTTTTTTTGTTATTAAGTGCATTTTGTTGTAAGAAGCTTAGACAGCATGACAAAATATTTAAGTAAAAAATATTGATTTCAAATTAATGCATAGAAATGTTAACACAAACATTGTAAATACTACCAAAATCCTCACTGCATAAATTGTTTGAGGCAAAATGTACAATTAACTTTGATGATTAAAAGTAATAGAGATTTTGAAAATTGTTATTAAAAAATGTGAATTTTTTTAACAGTTAAGATACTAAGAAATTTGACTATAAACCTTGTAAAAGGAGTGTTCGAAAAGTTGGGTAAATGGTCCCATAGTTGAACAATAGTATGAGTTAGAATATTAAACCTACAGACTAAGAGAGATATCGAAACCTGATTACCCTCTAGTGTATAAACCACAAAGAATTAAGCAGAAGTACAAGCCACCACCAATTTAATGCAATCACTGTGAAATGTTTTGTTGCATCAACTTAGACAAAATTATGATAGAGATATAAGAAATGCTAGTGAATTAGTATGCCTGGTAAGCAGTGAATAAGTATGTTTTTATAGATTTAAACAGTCTAGAGAGGGAAAGGTAGATTATTTTTGACATAGCACCAATCTCACAAGTAACACGGCAATGGTGCTTTAAACAATAACAAATTGCGGACAAATTTTCAACAGTTGTACAAGCAAAGCAAATATAGCTGTAGGCAATTACTACAGTAGGTGATCCATATAACACAATTCTGGGAACAGCAATTTTCAGTAAACCAAATCGATTTTGAAGGTGTAAACAATGAAAATTGCAGTAAATAAAGGAGAACTTTTAACATTATTTTCAACGAGGTTAAAATTTCAAAAGATAAGTAAACCAAAATTGACAAAATTGTTATTACTCTGAAAAATTACAATATTTTTCAATAAATAGTAAAGTGCTTATTTTTGTGTTTCTTAGTACTTGCATCTAAAAATAATTTTAAGATGTATCAGTTCCAGAAAAATTATTGCCACCTTCAGCAGGTAAGTTGAAAGATAAACATACAGAATTATTTATGCAACACAAAATTATATAAAAGGCAAGCATTTCATGGCTTGCATTATTAAGATCTGTTGTACAAATGACAATAAATGTATTTCGTTTGGTGAGACCATTTACCAAATTTTTTGAACACATTTTTATCTTGCAACATAAAAAGATGCTTGTAACTGCATACTTATAACAAGTTTGTTAAAAAAAAAGTGAGAGAAATGCATAACTTTGAAACATTGATAAAAATAAAATGTATTTCCCACAGTAATTTGAAATTTTGACAGCTCAGATCTTCTCAGCTGTATAGATAAAAACAAAAGTTTAAATACACTATCAATTTGAAATGGCAATTTAGTTCATTAATTCATATTTTTAAATAAGTTTACAAGTGAAGTGACAATACTAAAAAGTAACAAATTTTGACAGGCAGTATTTTGTCCAAGACACTAATTACAATGCAGCACACTAAATATAGCATTATAATAAAAGAAATCTTATAAATTCTTTACAGATTGCAAATAATTAAAATTAAAGCAAAATGATTTAAAAACCATTCATAAATTAAGGAAAACACACACACACTCTATTAGAAAAACACTAAACACTTGATAATTCATAAGCTTTTTTTATTATTTATATTTAAAATGAAAAAAAGTAAATAAATAAACCAACATTTTGATCTCAAAAGAAGGGGAGGGAAAGTATTTAGTCAACAAAGTCACAACTGCATGTGTATTCAAGGGTGAGCGAATGATTTTTAATAATAATAAAAAAAAAAAATCAACCTAAATAAAGTTTACAGTTTCAATACTAAACAGTTTTTTATTTGAATATATGAATTTTCTATTTTTCATGAATTTGTCCCAGAAAAATTCAGACATAAAAGCTACAAAAACTGCTATAGCATCAAAAATAGCAATAATGATAACAAAAAATGATATTTTAAAGATAGCTAAATGCTTTTTCTCTCAATTTCTTAACATAAAAAGGTTATTCCAAGTAATTAGTTTTGATTTTGTTTGCTAACTGTAGTAAAGTTGACCAAAGAGAACTTCTCAAGCTATACTGACATAATTTGATATAAAACAGGGTATTTCTTAACAAGACGCTTTTCGATCCTTTAATCCCCCCCCCCCCAGAAAAGGAGCATTTATTGATCAATGAAAAAAAAAAGTGCTTTGGGTAGAACCCTAGCACTCCCAAGGGGTTCAACCTTCTGGCACTCTGGGCATGTAGAAAATTGCTTTTGATTATTCACAGCAAACTATTTATCAATGAAAAGTGACTTGGAAGAGACCCTTGGTACTTCCAAACAATAAATAATCTTTTGGCACTGGGCGTGTAGAAAATTGCATCTAACTATGTCTACATAGCAAACTAGTTTCCAAATATTATAGATTATAAGGAAACAGTGTATATAGGAATAACATTCACTCAAACCTGTTGTTACCATTTTTACAAAGGAATAAAACCTTTTTTTTTTAAAGGTTTGTAGCCTTTTGTTTCTCTACTCATTTTATTTATGGTTTTTAACACCATCTAACTCTACTGATAAATAAGAGTTTACCTAATACACAGTAGCAAGAAGATTATTTACAACTTTCAAAATATTGCTGACATTTTAACAATAAAATGGTTTGGCATATCTATATTAGGCAGCTTTCAAATAGTTACACTGAGTAATGATGATTGTCAAGTTTTAAGATTAAATTTAATAATTATATTATTGCATTCGACATCATAAGGCAAGATTGAGGTAAATGAGAAATGGCCATTTTTCAACCCATTTGAAGGAAAAAGTGACCAGAAAATACATTGTTTCTTATCTGTGCATAATAGAAAACCTTTCTGCTAGGGAAATGAGTTATTTATTACTTTTTAACTAAAAATCTCAATTTTAAATGAATAAAACGCTGTATTCACAACATAACATAACAGAACACAGATAAAGTGTAAGACCAAATATGCATAAGAAAATATTATTGAGAATTGCACTTAAAATCAATATATGAAGCTAGAAATTAAGAGAAATTTTTTTGAAAACGAAAAAAAATGAATCTTAAATTAATAAGCATGGTTTCATTCTTTTCAACAGGAAATATGTTTACAAATAATTTTGAATGTGTTTTACTGACATAAAAAAAAAAAATCTGAAGAAAATATCAATAAGTCAAAACACACATTGCCAGATAACAATCAGGACAAACATGAAAGTAAAATTAAGTTTCTATTCAAATGCTATTTGAAGCAAATTCAGACAAATTAAATCATTTAGTAATTTCCAGTCCTGATTTGTTTTTATACAAGCAATTCATATTGTACGAATATGAACAGTAAAGTAATGGAAAAGATGCCTCACTTTCCTCAATATTCCATAATTCATATTCGGAAACTTTATGAATGTCAAAGATCATGATTTTCCAATGTTACACGATCATAGTTGCACACATTATATTATTCATGTAGCGACTAAGTGGCAACACAAAGGGATGCTACATTATATCTTCGCAGAATTCATAATTTTCTTCTTAATTAATCCAGTAATAAAAATTAATATTTCCTTCCGAAATTCTTCAATAAGCTCATTAACATTCGAGAATCATGTGCACTTGTTATTTGCTGGAGTAGGGAAAGACTTCCGATAATTGGAAGCCTATAGCCTTTTAATATTAACGCACATTAATCTAAACAATTTTTAACTTTAAATTATTTGGCATCTTGAATTGATATAGATATTTCTTGTATTATACCAGCCAGTAATAAGCTATTTGAGATTTATTACTTCATACAATAAATACAATTTACTGAAAACACTGGCAATGTGAGAGTACCCAATGTTGAACAAGTTGAAACTTAAGTCTATAGATAGTAGGCATAGATAATGGAACAATAAATATTCAAAAACCTACACCACCTAGGAGCAATTACTTTAGTTTCGCTTAAAAAAGCGGGAAACACAGAAGGATTTTAAAATAACAAAGAAACTTAAAACATATAAAATGTTTTAACAACACATCATAGAAAGTGGAAAAGTATTAAATATTGAGCTTATTTCAAATAAGAAGATTAATATTAAGCTATAACAAATAAATTTCATTCTGATTTTCAAATTGCATAACCAATTTTATATTAAACAGATATCTTCAATAATTTAAAATTCAGTTTTGTAGCACTAATTATTATTAAAATTATGTGTTTGAGATCATAGGTAATATATCAGGGGTGACTAGCTTACATTAAAATGAAACAGTATTGATTTTTTAATTTAAATTAATATCTATTTCAAAAATAGCTAATCAAAAAAGTCGATTTCTTTACAAATTTAAATTAATCTTACAGCTAATATTTAAAAAAATAAATAAATATATATCTATTCGTTCTCAGTTACTAATGCGTCTAAAATTTCTTAGACATACCAGCTAGCTATTTGCAGAAAGGCATTACGACAAATATTTTATGCGTCATATTCAAATACAAGTACATCAAAAACATTACTTAATAAAAACATTTAAAAAAAATAAGTCAAACTTTTATTTACAAGAAATAAATCCCAAATGGCAGCAATGTATGTTTCCTTATCTAATAAAAGATGTGAAAACAAGAATTAAATATGTATTTTTTCAAAAAGCTGTATAGTTTCATCAGGAATGTTATTTTGGAGAGTGCTCGGATCTGTGAGATTAGTTATTCTTAATCTATCAACAAAAAGTTTCAAAGAGGCAACTTTCTCTTTGTAAGCTTTACTTTTGGATTTAACTCCCATTAAAGTGTGACGGTAATGTTTCTTAGACTGATATGCTTCATACAACTTGTCGTAATCTTCACTTAATGCTTCAAAAAAGGGATTACGAGGCTGTTTCTTAAACTGAAATACTTCTTCCTGAATTGTTGTGATTTGTCTCTTTTGAAACCTGCTTATGTGAGTCTTCTCACCACTTGGTGTTGAACACTGTTCATTGGAGTTGAACACTTCTGTGGACTGGTCACCTACCAGCTGTTTATGCACAAAAAAGGTTTTTCTTCTCCCAAAAGGTGAACGCTGATTTCTTGTGCGTCGAATCTAAAATATGAAAAGTATTTGTTAATTGTGGTATGAAAAAATTCAACAGGAATTGTATTTTAAAAATGTAAAATCGAATAAGAGTTGGGAAAAAATAAGTAGGCATTTTTTTCCTTCTTTCATTAGATTTATTAAGTAAAATTTAGACTTAAATTTTTAGTCTTTTTATAAAAAATTATAGTTATATTTGAATTTTTTATTTAGGATTTAAAAAATAGCTTTTTAAAGCTGAGTTATTTTCGAAGTTAAGTAATGAAATAGGGATATGGTTAAATGAAATCAGCTATAGATGGATGACATTAACTTTAAAACGAAGGAAACTTTTGAGTTTGTTGCTAGTGCGTATGGCAGAAAATAGTGACTGACATACTATTTGTTCATTGGAACTGATTTGCTATGTGGCTGTATCTTCTTCTTTTGAGGGGGATTTTTTTCCAACCAACATAGGCGATAATGATTGCAAATGTGGTATGTAAGTTAAAGAACTGCCTGAATAAACTAAGAATGTTAAAATTAAGCTTGAAGTGATACACAGAACCCCAGAAGCAGAAAGTGCCTAAAACTGTGACACATGTCGCAGAACAAACGAAGTCCTGCAGAACAATTTGTATCTTGAATAAGTGACAGCGTTTTCCTGCGAAAAGGCTGTCACTTATTGAAGATACAGATAGTCAGGTTTTTTTTAAATATTTGAAAAAGTAACAAATCAAGAATGTTTGCTTTGGTTTAAAAAATAATGTAGCGTATCTGTGTATGATCCTGCATTTTAATTAATGAAAATATAGCATTTTAACGTAAAGTTGACTTATTTTTCGCCGTGAAATGCTTGCATAACATTTGTATAATTAATAAGTCCTGTTGCAGAACATTTGAAAATATTCTGCTTATGGGCACAGAACAATAATACATGGGATGAAAGGCGATTATTTTGCATCAGACTATCACTTGGCATTTTGCTTTGTATAACGATCAGGAATGTTGACTTTACTACATTATGCTTTAAGTATACTTGTTGAATGTAAAGAGATTTAATATAGTCATGAAGTCAATTATAAAATTAAATGCATTTATTATTGTTGAATATTTACTAAAAATATGATTTAAGATTGATATAATTTTAAGGTATTGTGAAAAGAAAGAATTAGGATAAACGTTTTATAAATGAGTAACTTTAATGTGTATTGCATCGTTTTTAGAATATGCATGCTTAACATTACTTTTTTATGAAACTTACAGCAGATGGGTAAAAAAATATGTTTATTTTTGCAGCAGAATTTTTTAATATTGTTTTTAATATAAGTGAATTTTGCTTTGAAATTTAACAAGGTTGGAATATTAAATTCTTGTTCCGGCATTTGACAAAAATGGTTGACGAGAAAGAAAATCGCATAACACTGGAACTGTACTGATAGCAAATCAGTTTCTATTCATTTAAAAGATCAGATTAAAAAAGAAATCAAGGCTAGAACAAAATAAATATTACATAAAAATAATAAATATACATATATTAGAACTAGATATTTTTAGAAAATTTTTGTATTGTTTTTATAAGAATTGAAATCTTTTTTGTAATTGTACCATACAAATATCTATTTAACTATAATATTAAACAACAATTTTGTTTTTTCCTTTTATCAACTCAACGTAATACCATCTTAAAATTTAATACATAGTTGAAAAGAAATTAATAATATATATATATATTTTTCCAAAAAATAAAAAATTTTAAACACCATATATTTTACAATTCAATTATTTTAAAAAATATATTTCCTAAAATACTTGAGTCATGCTATATATTATTTAAAATGCCATTATAATACGAAAATAGGGCAAAACATAACTTTCTATGACAAAGAGATTTCGTACAGATCTTTACAAATAGTATTAAAATTATTTGAATTTTCAAAACTCCTGTGGAAACAAATTGCGAAGAGTGATTTTGAAATAGCCTAAATATGAATCAGATTGAATTATTTTTGTACAACTTATGGTCAGTGAGGGACTCTGAGATCGCTCATGCGCGATTCTCAAACCAAGACTAAATTATGAAAAATGTCACATTTACACTTTGTGTAATGCAACAATTTAATCTTTTATTTATATCTAATCTTTTAATTTTCTTAAACCTCTATTTCCTTTTCTTTATATAGCAGTTTAAATTTATTTTAACTTTCTGTTCGACTTTCCACGATGGACCTACTTTAAATTATTGTTATAGGTAATTGTTTTTTTCTTCTTTGGAAACATCTCTAAATTGCGTTAAATGATATATTTATATTTCAATATAGCATGTCATTACTTTATTTAATTTTGATTAACTTTCATACTTTAATATAAATACTAATTACTTTGTTGCTTTCAAAAAGTACACCAACAAGCATTAATATTTTTCTCTTGAAATATAAAAAATTATAATTTTACTAAAACTAAAGGAAATTAGTTTAAACTGTTTAATAATTTTTCAGTATCATGAAAAATTATCCCTTACCCTGACAGGAAGAGGAAACAATAGCAATAATAAAGTTATGATTTATAATAGTAAATAAAACTCTAACCCTTTTAGCTAAAGCTGATATTTCACATTCTGTGACTTCGATTTGAAGTTCTGGACAATCGACATTTTCTTGAGGTGTTAGGAATGTTTCCGCTTTTTCAGTAGTCGAATCACCAAGTTCATCAATTTCCATTCTATAAGCTTAAATCGAACAAAATACAAGTAGAATAAAGAAAAGTTAATTTACACAAATTTTTATATAACTTAACAGACAACTAAAATCACTAATATCAAGTGTTTTTGGTTCTTTCAGAAAATGCAAAAAATACACTTGAAATCAAAGTGAAAAAAAAATTTGCAATACAACAGGTCTACAGCAGTTTTACTTTCTTAATTCAACACTAATTCGCTTGAATGTAAAATTCAAAAAGCATACAATTTTTATCAGCTGCGAATCCGTAAAGCTAATCCAAGCTAAACAAACAATTCAATGGCGACATAAATAATCAAAGAGTTGAGTTGTTAGTAAATATTACTGCATAGTTTTTGTGCTTATGCCAACCAAGATATTTAATAAATACTGTTTAAGTGAAAAAAGGATTTCTATCTCAAAATAATTTACCCCAGAAAATGTGTGATAAATCCCTTATTTCAAGTAAAAAAAAGATTGAGATAAAATCAAGCCATTATTTTATCCTGTGATCAATAATATTAAACGATAAGAAAATGCTTCCTAAAGCTGTATCCAGTGTCTCCATCTATTGAGTTGTTTAGCATTTAGAGGACGTACTTGGAAGATAACTGTAATAATTTAATTTCCTGTTATTTGTTCACAAATAATTCTTTATTTCTTTAAATCATAAAACTTTGTAGACTATTTAACAAATTTTTCGAAGAGAAAAAGCATTTTTAAAATTCTTATCACGCTTCCTTTTAGAATTTTGTTGTACGTTTAGATTCGTTGTTTAAAAATTAATTGTTTTGAAATTAGTTATTTCCACCAGTTCTTAGTAAAATCAATATTTTATTTTTAGATTTAACTTTAAATTTAATCTATACTTTAATCTATACTTTAAATTTACTCATTTTTTTAGAAAAAAGTCTTATAATATTTCTTTTTATTAAATGATGATTCTAAAATAAAAATGTATTAAATATTAATTCCGTAATGTGCTATTATTATATTTGCTTTTACATTTTTTTTTCTTTCTAACATAAGAATATTTTAGATTCATCTCTTGTAATTATTAAAAGTTAGAAAACTGTTTAAAAAAGATAATTACTCGTACGAAATCTAAATAAATCTAAAATATACTATTGTTGATTTTAGTACGTATATATGAATTTAAATTCGCTTTATGAAATAATAATTAATGTAATAATAATAATAATAATAATAATAAATGACGCTATACAATGGAAACATTTAAAACTGCAAAGAAAAGTTCAATTATGCCTCTCTTGATGGGACTTATTTTCAACTATCATGAAGAAATAATGTTTAATTAACAGAGTGGTAAGTATATATTTACCACTATAATAATATAGTATGTTATTAGTGGTATATAGTATGATTATTTCGAAGTAAATCAAGAAATTTTCTGCTATGCGCTCAAGGAAGATAGAGGAAAATTTTTTCAAGCAATAAAGTCATTATTGAAGCTTTATTAATTTTTTAAATATAAGGCTTACATTAATTATTCTTATGAATCATGAACTATCTTCGCTGCTTAGCGAGTTTTGAATTTGTGTTAGAATTTTGGCCTACAGAAGGAAAATAAATAAATAAATAAATAAATTAAAAAAAAGCTATTATATAAAAGATTAGAGAATAGATTGCAAAGAAATATGCTCGGAAAAATGTTAATTTGCTCACGATTTTGACTGTATTATAAATTATTTAATTATTTAGTATTTTAAATTATTTTAAAACCGAATAATATATACTCCTTTAATGATAATTCAATCAGTTGAAACACTTGGGAAATTGGAGTGATTTTCTTACGAATAGTTAATAACTAATATAACTTATAAGTAAATTAGTAGATCATTAAATAATCTTAGATTTGTGCGTAAGATTTAAAGATTAAATTGATTGTAGAGTGCTTTAAAAGTCAAACGCAAACGATCCACATGCGACACAACTATAGAGTTTACTACAAAAAAAAAAAAGAAAAAAAAAGAGAAAAATGGATACAAAACGAAACAAAAGAAAATTTTTTTATTCTGTGAAGTGAAATCATGAGTTCTACTTTTCAAATCCGGCAGGCAGACATAAGCAAACGAGAAACTTATGAATGTTATTGTTTCTTCTTCTTCTTCTTTTTTTTTCTTTTTTCAAAATAGTTTTTACTTGAAGTATAATTTACTTTATTGTACAAAAAACTGTAAAGTAAATATTTGGAAAAGAGAAATGATGTCTCAAATTACAATAAAAATTAAAGTAAGATTTTCATAATTACTGTAGTACAAGCGGTGAAAGGTTACCCAGGTGACAAGGGTACTATTGTATCAAGCATTGGGACAAACAAGCCTTCATCGAGGATTTTTTTAAGGAAACTATTCCGCATTTGTGTTACTTGAAGAGAAAAACCTCGAAAACCTCTAACGGTTAGACTGACGGGAAGGAGATTCCAACCCATTATCCACGTACCACAGAGGATATTTCACCCCACCATTGTGGTCGTGGGGCAGAATTCGCGTCGACAAGTCATCACTGGGATTCAAACTTGGGTCACCTCATTGGGAGGCAAACGATCTACTCTCTGTATGATTACATTTTTGCTGCTTTTCTTCTGTAAAAATTGATAAATACTCTGGGGATGGGGAAAAAATAACCCTGACAATCAGAATAACTTTGCTCACCAGATGTTTATAGTTTTGAAAATTACTTTTAAAGCGATTTCTGTAAAATATCGGAGGTAAAATATGGAAGAATAAACTGGAAATATGAGAATTTTTTTTTTGAAACCAGTTATAATTTTTATAAATTATATTAATGCTAGTAATTTGTTAAGTTATCAATTTCTCGTTATAAGACTTTTGTAGATGAATATTAACAGAATCATGACATAAAAAAGGAGAATATTTTTAATTTTTATTTCTTATTTTATCATTTAAATTATTTATATTCATTTAGAACGTTTAAATTTTTTTTTATAACCTTTAACAGGAATTATAAGATAAAAAGAGAACATTTATGTAGGTACATGATATCACTTATCCAGTTTGACAAAATCTTGATAATTCTTCTTTAAAAAAAGAATTTACTGCCTTGTTTGGTTTGAAATAGAGTTTTAAAAACAACCGCTTTCAGAGAAATTCTTCATTTCCTTCATTTTTTTTAAAGGAAAAAAAAAAAAAACTAAATAAATAAATAAATAAATAAATAAATAAATAAAACATTGTATAAATTTCTTTCTGTTCAAAAGTTCAATGTTTAAATTGTTTGTCAGCAAACGTTTCAAAAATTTTCCAGAAAAATTTCGCTTCTACAAAGTAACCCTTTTAAGTTCAGGTATTTTTCATCGATTTAAATGTTTTGCTATATCTTCATATCATTTTTTCTTTATTGTTTAATTAGAACATCTTGTAACATCACGAGTGTAAATGTCATCCTCTTTCCACTCCTGTATCGGATACTAGTTATTTTGACACTCCGTAACAGTAAGTAAAAGGGCGAGTGAAGTTACACCAATTTGCTAATGGTTCATTGGCTAACACCACCGAACAAAATAATAACATGCAAATTGCAGAATAATTAGATCCGCAATAATATTTCTACAAAAGTTATATGCAACAGAAGTAGAAATGCAATGAAAAACTTTCCAGTTATATCTTTGGACTTCAGGGATTGAAATTGCTAAGGTACTCAAACTGCTTTCTTAAAATTCCTGATAGCAGGAAACCTTACGGCAAACGTTGTATTTTCCTTCGTTTTTAAGCTTAGTAGAAATATTAGTATGCAAAATTTGTTTCCTTAAAATTTGTTTAAAGACAAGGAAAAACCTTAACAAAAAAAAAAAAAAAAAAAAAAAAAAANAAAAAAAAAAAAAAAAAAAAAAAAAAAAAAAAAAAAAAAAAAAAAAAAAAAAAAAAACTATTTTTTTTAAAGCTTTTATTTATAGGTTCTGTAAACCTTGTTTTTGCCTTTTTTTTTTATTTTAGATTTGTCCAAGCTCTCAAATGCAATATTTTGTCTTAGTTGGAAATTTAATTATCTGGCCAATTTTTACTTTTAAAGTGTCAAAGGAAGTATATAAAAGAATCCTTAACCGAAACACCTCGTTTAAGTGATGGTTATAAAATCTAAAATAAACCTTGAGAAAAGGAATTCGTTTTCCACTCTCGATTTTAAAATACATTCCACTATTGATTTGCGAATGGGGATTCGTTCTCGATTTTAAAAGGTTTTTTTAGCCTTGTTTTATAAAGGTAGATTCAATCTCGATATATAAGAGTTTGTTTGTGCAAGCTTAACATAACGTGTACACTAGCATAGTTACATTTAACATTGCTTCAAGCTTGTATATTTTATTTGCTAATTATTTGTGAACCTTGTTAGGCTTTGTGATAGCGGTAGTTAAGGACATTAAAATCAACATTACAATGCTGCCTGGTAATCACTTTACAAATTCTATTTTTTTCTAATTGACAAGCTATAACTAAGAACTTGCCAACTCTGGTTTTGCTGAACACTCGATTGACAATTTAATTGCTGTTTTGTTTGCCTCTTATAAGTTTTTTCTCTCTCTTTTTTTTTTGAAATGGGCAAAGGTTTTTCAGATTACTTTCAACCTCATTCAAAGATACCTCTTTTCTGTTTTAAAAGACACCCATTCACTTCTTTAAAAGACACAAAATCTGTTCATTCACAAATATGCAGATTCGTCTGTTTGCTAATTTGTCCATTCTTTTATTTGCTTAATGAATGAAATTGGAAAAAATTCATTCCAGGAAGGAAAAAAAAAAAAAAAAAAAAAAAAAAAAAAAAAAAANAATAAAAAAAAAAAAAAAAAAAAAAGCGTTTTAACCAAAGTAAGAAAAGCTACCGAAAACAAGCATACATACGAAACATAATTCTGCAGAAAAATATTGCAATTGTACACTTTCACAATAAAAAGGAAAATAATTTCTTAATAAGTAAAGAATGCGTAATTAATGCAATTTTTTTTATAACAATCGAACAATTTGGTCACTTAATAGCTGAAACATTACTCCAAGGCATATGTATTCGTACATATACAAAAAAATTACTGAAATTTATGTATTATTTTAGCAAGATAGAGTGATAACTTATAAAATATATAAAGTAAAATACAAAATAAAATATTTTTAAAGTAAAATATATTTTTTTAAACTTATTTAAAATTATATTTTTAAAGCTATTAATACAAATACCGGATTATTACTTAAGTTACGTAAACAATAAGAGAAACTGCTTTTAAATTAGGCAACAGAAAGTAAAAATGAAGTTTCTCACCAATTATAATCTCACTTGCAAGAAGAGAGCAAGATGCTAT